ATTTTGTCCAGTCTTTTATAAACTCTGTCAAGGTGACCCCACTTTGGTCCCTGCCAAGTGAATTTTGAACCTATGAAGCCCAAATGATCAAGTTGGCATTCCTTTAAAATATCTTTGAAACGTTGACATCTTGAGTAGTTTGGTGGTGATCCCTTTTTTTCCCCATATAGCTGCAATTTCATTAAAGTCCCCACCAATTTTCCAAGGCTCTGATACATTTCTGCTTATTGATTTTAATTCATTCCATAAGCAATGTGTTTGTGATTCCCTTGGACTAGCATAAATGGCTGTGCACAGAAAGCTTTGCCCATTGTTAAGAGTTATTTTTGTATGTATCATCTGGTCTGATTGGGTAATTGATTCCACTTGAATTTTGGATGATACCCACATGATCCAAATACCCCCAATAAACCCTTGAGCTTTTTCTACACATTTGCTGTCAAACCCATATTTCTTCATGATCGTTAAACCGGTATTACTATTGGTTCTTGGTTCCAATAAAACCACACAGGAAATCTGGTTTTGGCGCACTAAGCTTTTCAAAACTCTACTTAGATCCCTACCTACAGCTCCTCTAACAATCCAGAAAAAAATAGACAAAAATAAATTGAGAGGTGTTTACAGGGTTATAAAGTACATGTGTCTTCTCTTCCATGGGTGAACAGTTCCCATTTTGTTCATCAACTTCATTTTGAATTCGCACTGTACCATCTTGCTCCATTTCTTGGGTTATCAGGGCAGGAGGTCTTAGGGCCTGAAGGACATTAATTTTAGCTACTTGCTGATTAGCAACCAAGGAATCATTATTACCATCCTCACTTTGCTTTCTTTGGATTCAAAGGACCTAATTCCTGTTGATCACTTTCTGCTCTATTTTTTCATTCTTCTTGCTTGTTGAAATTCCTGACAGGTGAGAATTTTTGTTTGTCTCATACTTATGATTGGATCTAGTTATCCCACCATCCGAATATTGCAGGCTCCCTCTATTGTTGTCATCCTTGATTGTCTCATAATTACCTCCAACTAGCTTGAAGTCATTGTTAGTTTCCACCACATGATACTCATTCTTCAACTTTTTCCTTTTATTAATGCTGGATATTCTGGGTTGTGTACTATTGTCCTGCCAATTAGAGTTCACTTCTATTCTTACCGGATCACCTTCCATCTCCTGTTCGTTGATGTCTTTTCAAGCATAGTATACCTTGAAGATGCCATCCCTGATGGTTAAGATGCATGAATTCCCTCTTTTCCTTTTGGTGCTGATACATTGCTTCTGTTGTTTCTTTTCAGTTTGCTAACCAGCATCTAAGGTCCATATTTATTATCTGACTTTTGATCCACCACCTTTATTTCTTGTGTCTTTTTGGGGTCATCTTTTCTATCTTGTCCTTCCATATTCCTATCCTCAGATGATACACCAGTTCCTTGGGAGCATTTCTTTGGGAAATTTTCTATTCTATGACCTTATTGCCCACAAGAGTAGTAGACAAGATGTAGGCCTTTGTATTCAACTTGTTTAATTCTTCCCCCCAATTTGTACTCAGCCTGCAGAGGTTTGGTCAGGTCGAATTCGATACGCATGTGAGCAAATCTTCCTCTAGCCATTGATGCTTTTGCCGCATCAATTTTAATGAATTTTTCTAACCAATTGCCAATCTCTTTTAACAGCCCCGAATTAACATACTAGATTGGAAAGCCCGGCAAACGAAACCACGCTGTGATCCTAGCAATTGAAACACTTTTAAATTTGCACTAAATCCATTTTCCAATATTGTCATAATTTTTAAGAAAATTTTAGAAATTTTATTTATTAAGAATAGAATCAAAATTTTCAAAATAATTTTTCAAAAATTAACCTTCTAAATTAAATAAAATATAATCAAATCTTTCAAAATCAAAATTAATGTCAAATTAACTTTTTTTTTTTCAAAAAAAAATTAAGTTTTAAAAATCTATTTAGATTCTTATTTTTCAAAATTTTAAGATAATATAACCTTAGGCATTATTGTGATTCACCTCATCCAACCAGTACATGAAATTTAAAATTTTATTTTGCAATTTCGATATTCACGGTTTGACAGTTTTGTTGTATTCACTTCTTCATAATTCATCAAAAATTAAATCTTGCAACAAACTTTCAAAAGAATAAATAGTCTTAAAAGTTGGTTAGGTTTATTATAGGATGTTTTCCAATATTGATCACTTTTAAATTTTAATGAATTTTCCTAACCAATTGCCAATCTCTTTTAGATCTTGCTATCTTTTTTTTAGCTTAGATGATCAGAGCTGGCTTATATCCAATCTTCGGGTGGATATAGAAGATAGCAGGGGTGTACCTTGGCACATTACTTTTGCAGTAACAATTTGGCTAGCTTGGAAGTGGAGAAATGATAAGAAACATAGTAGTCAATATATCCATAATGCTTATAATCAGCATATTGTTGATAATCAAACATTTGAAATTTGGGCTGTCACAAAGAGAAAAGCAACTAGTGTGTCTTGCACAAGAAATGAGGAGGTTCCAATTGCATGGGAATATCCGGAGGTTGGCTGGGTAAAACTTAATACTGATGGAGCTGCCAAAGGTAACCCAGGCTGCTTGTGGGGGAGTTTTAAGAGATAGTACAGGACAATGGCTAACTGGTTTCTCCTATCGAGTTGGCCATTGTAGTGCTATTATGGCGGAATTATGGAGCATTTTAAAAGGAACTCAAATGGCTTGGGAAAATGGTTGGAGAAAGTTAGTAATTGAAAGTGACTCTTCAACAGCAGTCATGTGGCTTACTACAAGGGGTGAGCCAGCCTGTGAGTCTCATCTTGTTACTCGTATACAGGCATGGATGGATAGAGAGTGGTCAGTGATTATAAAACACACGTATGGAGAAGGAAACTATTTTGCGGATTGACTGTCAAACTTTCCTTTGGTGAATCCGAATCAAGAGGACTTTTGTATTTTCCCATCTTTTCCTCCTGGTATTTTCTTTTTGTACTTAGCTGATTTAAGTGATTTTGATAAAACTCGTTGTATTTGTCCCTTCTAGCCTGTTTTAGGGGTGTGTTTTCTCCTTTGATACCAAAAAAAGATGTTAGATAATTTGACTATACTTATTTGTTATCATCAAAATTAGATAAGAAATGAAACCCAACATATAGTTTCACTGCCATTTTAGCCTTCTCTTACGTCATTGTTTGTTTCATAAAAATAAAAATAAAAAAATCAATATCAAGTTTCATTGAGCTACCTTTTAAATCGTTTTTCCTACTGCCCATCATGATTTTTCAATCTCATATTGTTTGAGGGTGAAAAAACATAAAAAAGAGAAAATAAAAATAAAAATCACATTATTATACTATTATATGCCAACGGAAATTAGGACAACAACCAAAATGAGATGTTTTGGCATTTTTTTATTGAAATTTCATGTTTTCAAAAAAAATTCAAAATGTCATTGATAAAGTTTCAAATTGGCTACGGGGGACACTTTTTATCACGTGACATAGCGATCAAGATCCGTTCACATAGCAAGACGTCCTGTAGGTCTAACAGGTTCAGGACCAATTGTGTCGGACGAGTCTCATGATCCTGCCCCATCGTGGCCCTCCCTACAGCACCCGATATATACATTCATTCTTTTACAAATTCTTGTTGGGATTTTCTTCCTTGATATTGATGGGCTACACATTCCAATGTAATATTGGAATGTTGAATACTACAAGTCTCCATGCTTAGGAACTTCACTTAATAATTATAGAAAAATTTAGACCATTAAAAAATTGCTAATATTGATGTGCCACCCACCTCATCTAGTTTGGAATAAATGTGATATTGTTTATGTTAATATTAAATTATATAACTTAGTCTTTTACTCAACCCTCCTAGAAAAAAAAACTTTAAACTTTTAATTAAATTTTTTAACTTAATTATGTATATTTTTTTACAATTGATTGTTTTTTATTTTTTTAAACTTTAATTTTTTAATGGAAAAACTTTATTTTCATCCACTGTGGTTTTGTGATTTATCACTTGACCCTCTGTGATTTTAAACTTATCAATTAGACTCATTATACTAAGATATTTTGTTATTTAACCTCCTATGGTCTCAAATTTTCACTTAGATCCTTTATGGTTACAAAATTTTTCATTTAGACATCTTGTGATTTAAAAAATAAAAATTTAAAATAAATTTTCTCTCTTTTTTATTTCATATCCTCATGTGATGCATTTATGGTTTAAAAAATATTTAAAGTTATTTATTCTGAAATTAATTTATAAATTATCTTAATTTTTTTTATATTTTCAATTAAAAAAATATTATTTAAGATAATTTAAATATGTATCATCAAAACAAGGTATTTACTTTCTTTAGATAATTTTATAATGATATCGGGTAAAAACTAGATCAAATAAAACAATATTTGATTTGAATTTATTTTCTTGATAAAAATGAGTGAATTTTAAAAAAATCATTTTTATTTTTTAAACCCTAAATGCATTAGGTGAGGATATAGAATAAAAAGAGAGAAAACATTTATTTTAAATATTTATTTTTTAAAAAATTTATTTTTGTAACCACAAGGGGTCTAAGTGAAAATTTTTCTAACCACAAGGTGTCTCTAGTGAAAGTTTGAAACCACGAGGGGTTAAATGATAAATTATTTAAACACAATAAATTTAAGTGGTAAGTTTAAAATCCCACGAGATCAAATGATAAATCACAAAACTACAATGGATGAAAACAAAGTTTTCGCTCTTTTTAATTTTACCTAAATTAAAAGGTATTTTAATATCAGATGAAACACTTGCAAGTTAGTAAACCGGAATTCCAGCGTTTCATCGCGTAGTCATTCAGTCAACATAAAGAGTTTAACAGGGAATATTCAAAGAATTAGCTGATATGAACAGATGAACTTTTTTTAACACTTTTTTTTTTTTTTTTTTTTTCATTTCTCTTCGCACAACTTTTGAAACCAAAGTACCAGCCCTAACAATGGCACCCCAAAGTACATGAAAGACAACGAAAAAGTGAAAAAATAAACCTCCCTTACATTGGCAAGAAGACATTCCCTTAATATTCATGACTATAATAACAAACTTCTTGGACCAAAAATATACTGCTTTTACATATGCATCATCCAATTGAAGAATCTATCCCTCTATTTCACGTATATGTACGTTGGCTTCTCGACCACTTCTCCGGGTTTCATGCAATGCAAGTTGGTAACAAGCAACTAGAAAAGAAACACAACCTTCTCTTCTGCATTAAAAAAAAAAAAAAATAATAAATTTGAGAAAGAGAACACAAATTATTAGAAAAGGAACCTAATCAAGACTTTATCAAAAGATGCAAAAACATTGAGCAAAGAGTAGAAAAATTAGGAAAACGAAAGTAATCAAAGACCAACTAAAATCTCAGTTTTATAGTGAAAAAGTAAAAGGTGTGTGTGGGGCTTGACCTTTTTAGCTTTTGCATAAAGAAGCCCTGGTGAGATCTGGTACAAGTCCTCATCAACAGGTTTTGGGGTAGACCTTGGCAATGCAATTGGGCTGGGTGAATCAATATCCATATCACTGACCCAATTCTTCTTTTTTGTTTCTTTTTCATGCTGGTCACGCACCTTGGCCTGCAATTTCACCAAACACCTTTATGAACCCAATTAATGCTTTACATAAAGTCATCTTTGAATCTACGTGTCTCTCTTCACACACGAAAGCTTATCTAGCAAAGTTATGCCATATTATAATAAAAATTTCATTTACTTTTTTCTTAGTTTATTGACATATAAATTGTAATTAATATGAGCAAAGCAACTTTGTCATGATTAAATACAAGCGCCTCTTGCCCCGTGAACAAGTTCCCGTGTTAATAATTTCTCACGCTGTGTGATGCGTGAATCATGGATGTTATTCAATAACTAGGAGGCCCCACTGTGAAGTGTGGCCAACCATCCATAGAGAAAGCAGTAACAAAGGCAAAGTTGCTTTCTTTCTCACTACTCACGGTCTAACCCTATTAGTATGGCTATGATGCTGAACTTTGTGTTCGTAATGAAATTGAAATAACATATATGGCACACCCATATCACATCCCCATTTAAGTCTGTGTATCACCATCACGTGATACTTGTACAAATATTTTATATATATATATATATATATATATATATATATATATATATATATATATATATATATGAGAATTAAATACGTAATTCAATACAATCTATTCAAATCCCTCATCACTGGACCAATTCTAGCAGCTTTACTTGTATAAATATATATACAATACAAGACGCGCAATTGGCAGTATGCATTCAAATCGTACACAGTTCTTACGAATTGAACGTGCACATTTCATGTGCACATTTCGCTTGCATTAGATTAGTAAATAATTTTTAAAACAAATTAAATCAGTAATATTTTTTATATTTTGCATTGCATTGGTAAAAAATCCCAATTACATATGTATGCAAATCAACCAAAACAGTAAATATACCAAAAAAATAAAAAATTCAAAGCACTTCTTTTTGTAATAACAAGAGTTTATTTTCTGTATCAGCTAATCAAGTAAAATGTCATCACTCAACTCTCAAAAAGTTAAAAAAATTGGTAAGCAAAGACATAACTTTATTATATCTTTTGTCATCTTAGACCACTTAGCCATAAAAAATGTTAATATTATATCACAAATTAACTTAGGCAAATGAAGTGTTTTATTATATTTCTTCAACAAATTTCACCAAAAACAGAGAGAAAAATAAGAGAAGTTTTGGTGACATGTATACCCTTCTGCGAGGAACAACGATCATGGCTGGTGTGACAACATCATTCTCATACAAGTCCCCTGTAACGTAAAGGTCACGGTCCTCAGACTCAGAGTAACTATAGCGTAGCAAACCAGCTTGCCTCGCTGACTCAAAGCACTCTGTGAATGGGAGGTTGTCATTCCAATCCCAGCTTCCAAATGCTGGTATATGACTCCTCTTGTAGTAGTATTCCTATTAATTGAAAAACAAAGAAACCATTCAATAATAATTCACATAACCAAGCATAGCAAGAAGATGAAGGTTAAACAAGTAAAAAACCAAAAAGACCTACTTCCATTGCAGCTGAACAAGAGATAAGTGATAGATCAAGTCTCGAAGAATGGTTTGAAAATGGGCTTATCTTTGTTCTGTGTCTGAGCGTGGTTTTGCAAATGGTTTAAAAAGAGAAGAATGCATGTGATAGTGTGACAAGCAGAAAGAAGGAGGAGAGAGAATAAAGTTTGGGGTGATGGGGTGTGGGATCTAAAGCAAAATAACCTTGTTATCCACACACACACACACACACACAAAAAGAGAGCAAAATAACCTCTAATTTGAATAGAAAAGAAACCAGATAACGAAGTTTCACAGTACAAGACAGAGCGACAGAGAGGTAAGATATAAGGAGAGCAGAGACCGAGAAAGTGAAAAGACGGGCTAAGCCATTAGAATTTTTCTAATTTAGATAGTTTGTATTAATTTATGTGTTTAATTTATATCATTATCATTGTATCAAAAAATAAAAGGAAGCAGGTAGGTAGGTAGGTTTCTTTTGTTATGGTAGTTTTAAATTTGTTCTTCAACTTTTTAGTTAAAGTGATCAATATATAATTTCTCACCGTGGCTGTTTTTATAATATTTGGATTGATTTGTTATATATATGAACAACGTCAATTTAACTATTATAGTTTTAGTTGCTATTTTATTTATATTTAATAACCTTAACATATTAATTATTTGAGTCATTAAAAATGAGATTAATAATTAAAATGATTCTTGGCAAAACATTGTGTGGGACAAAATTAAATTGAACCATAACACCTTATAGAGTAAGAGTAAATAGAAAAAGTTATATTCTAACTAACTACTATAACTAGAGATGTTAATAAGTCAAATGGTTTATTAGAGGCCTATTAAAAGGCCTGATTTCTAAGCCTTCAACCTTCACTTGTATTTTTTAATAAAATAATACAAATACAACAATATGAATGACTAAATTATTTTAATATATAAATATAATTTTCTGAAAATATATTAAACATAAGTTTAAATTAATTCATTTAAATATATTAAATGTGAATCCGAATAATTTCATAAAACACACTTACATATAACAGTATAATACATATTTAACGGAAGAGTAAGAATGATGTTTATTTTGTGTGTGTAAATTTTTAATTTACTTTAAATTAAATTTATAATAAAAAAATCAATATAATTTGATTCAATTAATTTTTTAAAAATATAATTAAATTGTCAATATTTTCGATTAAGGTTTCAGTTATTATACAAAGTAATTACAACCTATAATTTACAAAATGTAATACATTATTTTTGAAAATTTAATAAGCTTGATAAGACAGAGCAAATTTTTTTTTTTTTTTTAAATAAGTCATGTGAAACTTATAATTTTACTAATATCAAGCTAATAAGTCATACGAGACTTAAAATATTTTAGATAAATCTAACATATTTAAATTAAAGTCTGGGTTGTGCCGAATTATTTGTCCCCCATAGCTGTACTTTTTGACATAGTAATAAATACTCCATCCAACCACTTAATATCAAAACTGAGATCATGATTTCAAGAAAAGTGTTAGAAAGAGAATTGTTGATGAGCTCAATATTCTACCTCGACAAAACCTGATGCGAATTAGTGTATATTAAACCTTGACACGTAGCTAGGTTATGTGAAAAAATTTACATTATATTTACAAATTTTTTATTTTTAAATTCTTCAAATTACATTATATTAGAGGTATTATATTTTAGCACACAGTGTACTACTCATAATATATATATAATGAGTTTTATAATTCTCATGTAACATGAGAATTAAAATCTCATGTTGTAGAGATAAAAAATATGTGGGACTCATATGTTAGAAAAAATTATGTGTAGGACTCATATCAGCACGAAAATCGAAGAATGTGTAAAAAAATTTCAATTCTCATGTTAAATGAGAATTATAAAACCTATATATAATTTATAAGAATTGATAAAAAGATATTATAAATATAACTGTCTCTTATATATATTTCTTTTCTTTTCAAATTTCAATTATAAACATCGATATACGGAGGGTGACCTTTTGGCTTTGTCAAATTTGTTTATGAACAAATGCACATCCCAATGCATGAGAAAAGGACCAATGGGGGTATATTAGTTCCTTTAGTGGGACTTAAAGGCCATCTTGCTGGTGATGGTTTTGGCTTTTTATCCCCACACGCGTACCAGGGGCGAACTTAGTGCTTTGTGCAATGTCGAGTCAGTGTGTGTGTCGATTCTCGTGACACCTTGTTATTGCTCTAATAGCAATCTGGACCAACACTGAGTTAAAAATTGCAGAGGCCATTTAATAGGTCAATAACGATCGAGAGCAAGGTTACGGTATTACAGTAAAGACTAGACACGTTTTTGGAAACTCAAAACAAAATAATAAGAAAAGGCTAACAAACATGCGTAGAGATATGATAAACAACGACATATTTGATTCTTAAAAGCTGTTAAGTTGACCTCTGAACATAAGGTTACCCAATAGATGGTGCGTTCTGGGAAGATATAATATGAAGAGAAACAGATGAAAGTTATCTCTACTTCTCTCATTTGTTTTGTTTTTTTAAATATTTGTCCTTTTTAAAGAATATAATTTTATGTCATTTTAGATTCTAACCGTTAATTTTCATCAATCAATGATTATAATTTATTGCGAATTATTAATAAGTTTGACTCAATAAATTATAAATGTTGATTTCCATCAATCAACTATTAAGATCTAAAATTATATAAAGTTATATCTTTTAAAAGGACAAATATTTTCTCTTTATTTAAAATAGAGTAAATATCATTTTTGATCCCTAACAAAATCTCACGAGGGCCCAATTAGTCCCTAGCAATAAAAAAGGTCACTCGCAGTCCATGTATTATAAAAAAATATGCCATGTTAGTCCTTCTGTTAGTTGGCATCCAACGACCAAACTAACGTTGCACATGTGGAATGTTAATTTGCTGAGTCACGTTAGTCACACTCCACGGTGGACATTAGGACGACGCCGTTCTGAACATGAATTGCTAAACCATGAGTAATAAGAAGCAGACAACGTCGTTTAGCAACAATACCCATCCTCAACCTTGGTCTTAACTGATTTGACACACTCACACAACTGTTTACTTCTGCATAACCCCCTTTTACTCGTGAGTTACATTATCGGTGAACATTGTGAGGTATGGTGGTTTCTGGGTCAACATCGCATGTGCACTTGCAAGGATTTGGAAGTGGGCTGGTTGTTTGGTGGTAGATTAGAAATACGATTGTGGTCGTTAACTGGTTCCAAAAAGGTATGTGCATGTAAGACTTTGTTTATTATGTGTGGTACCCCCTCACAATGGTTCATTAATTTATGTTTAATATGGTCCCCCATGTGTGGTCCCTGCTAAAGTTATGGTTAGGGTTTTAAAAGTACAAACCCTGTTGCATGTGGTCCCTTTTTGAGTAATGTATTTGCAATTTGTAGTGTTTTGTGGATCCAAGTGTTGGGTAAATCAATTGCATGGCCATTTCTAAAAGCTGTATGTTTTTGTCTGTTGCCATATTTTTGTGTATATTTGTCCCCGAGTGTTCAATAATATAGTAAAGTTAATGTTGTATTACAAAACAGTTCTAGTGTGAAATAAAATTGTGAGGTAATATGCTAGTGTAAAATAATGCAATGTGGTCTTTTTTTTTACAGATGGATCAATATATAGTGATAAGATATCATCATGGGGGGGTATTGGTGAGGAATGATGAAGGGAAGCTTACGTATGTAAATAGACTAGTGGATGATTTACCTGAGATGTATGCTGATTATGTGAACTTGTGTGACCTTGAAACTCTGTTCAAGGAATATGGATAAGAAAAATGTAGACAGATGTTGTGGCTTAAGCCAAATGAGTGTGATTTAGAGGTAGGTTTAAGACCTTTTCATAAAGACTCTGACATTGTAGAAATGGTTAAGGCTTCCTTAGCTAATGGGAACAAGGTAGATATTTATTTCGAAGATTGCATTGCAATTCCTGATATTGTAGCACTCGCACCTACAGAAGGGAGTGATATGTTAGAGTATGAAAGTGGTGATGATGAAAGGGTGTATGGTGATTCAGTTGGTAGTGGATCTGACTTGCATATGACCTCTGGTGATGGATATGATACTGGAGATGGCAATGGATTGTCTAGTAAGTCATACGACAGTGTAGAGGATGAGTCATATAAGCCTCATTCCCCAGGTTATGAGAACCAAACAGAGGATGAAGAGGAGTATGTTTCTATACCTCAGAAGACTGGGAAAAACAAGTCTAATTTAAAGAAGAAGAAAAAGCATGTTAAGCAGCATAATTGGGGGGGAAATGGAATAGGAGGACCAACAAATATCATTTGAAAAAGATGGGTATGGATATAATTCTGAAGAGCTGAAGCCTCCTCCTTCAAGCGGTCATGAGGAGGTTGAAAGACTTGTGTTTCCAAAGTTTAATGAAGAGAATACATTTGGTCATGTCCAATTAGAGCTTGGAATGAAGTTTGTGAGTTTAGAGCAGTTTAAAAATGCTGTGAAAGACTACAATATTAGTCTTGGGAGATAATTTAAGTGGGTTAAAAATGACAAGATCAGAGCATGGGCTAAATATAGTAATGAAGACTGTGATTAGATGATATATTGTGCCTGGAACAACAAATTGACTTCTTTCCAAGTGAAAACATTTAATGACTCACATTCTTGCTGCAGATTATTCCAAAATATAAGGGCCAACAAAGATTGGGTTGCAAAAAAATTAGAGAAAATGATGGTGACTCGGCCCAACATGACAAGGGCCGAAGCTTATGAACATTTGAAAGAGGAATATAAGGTCCATGTACATTTAAAGAAAGTTAGCAAGGCACTTCATAAAGCCAAAGGCAGAATTGAAGGTTGTGAGAAAGAACAATATGCAAAATTAAGAGACTACCTAGCAGAGCTTTTAAGAAGCAATCCTGACTCCACTTGCCAGATGCAAGTTATACCCCAACCTGACCCTCAAGCCCCCCTAATATTTTTAAAAATGTATATATGTCTTGATGCCTGTAAGAAAGGGTTCAAAGCTGGTTGCAGGCCATTAATTGGCCTGGATAGTTGTTTTTTAAAAGGATACTATGGAGGACAGTTGTTGAGTGCAGCGAGAGAGGATGCAAACAGGAGCTTTTATGTAATTGCTTATGCAGTGGTTGACAGTGAGACCAAAGAAAACTGGAAATGGTTTCTGACTTTGTTACAAGAGGACATTGGGAACCATGGAGTCTACGGTTGGAACTTCATTTCTGATCAGCAGAAGGTATGTTTTTAATTGGCTTTCTTTGGTTTTATATGCTTAATTTATAGTATGCTTTTTGTTAAATTTGATTGTGTTGTTTGACATATGTATGCAGGGTTTGATACCAACTTTGTAGGTCATGCCTGGTGCACACCATAGGTATTGTGTGCAGCATGTGTGGAAGAATTTCATCGAGCAATGGAAGAATAAGGCCATCAGGCGCATTATTTGGGAGTGTGTAAGGTGAAATATTGTACCACAATTCCAGAAAGCTATGCAAAGATTGAAAGGTTTAAATGAATAGGCTTGTAAGTATCTAGAAAAGATTGATCCCTCTTGTTGGGTGAAGGCTTATTTTAGTCACTGGCCCAAGTGTGACAACATAACAAACAACATGGCAAAGGTTTGGAATGCCAAAATTCTAGGTTACAGGTCTAAGCCAATAATCAGTCTGTGTGAGGAACTGAGGTGCTACATCATAAGAAGGATGACAACATATCAAAGGATTCTTGGAACAGTTATGGATAAAATTTCTCCTACACAACAGAAGAAGCTTGATCAATTGAAGGTGCTAAGCAATTCATGGAAACCTACATGGACAGGAAATTTACATCAAGATATATATGAAGTCAGTGGAAAAGGTGAGAGGGTTGGAGTAAATCTAACAACTCAAACATGTGCATGCAATGTCTGGCAGCTGACTGGACTGCCATATGAGCATGTAATTGCAGCAATCTGTCATAAGAATGAACCTGCTGAGAATTATGTGCATCAATGGCTTACAGTGGATGCTTTGCATGCCACTTATGCACACACATTGAACCCAATTAATTCTGACCAGTATTGGCCTTCTTTTGCTGAACCTAAACCTATTCCTCCACCATTGAAAAGGCCAACTAGACGACCCAAGAAACTCAGGAGAAAGGATCCAAGTGAGGAACAAGGTAGAAATGCCAAGAAAGTGAAAAGGACATATGCTGCTAAAAGTCCTAAATGTGGTCAGCTTAGTCACTATGTTAAGACGTGTAAGGGACCAGCAACAAATAAGAAAGAGAAGAGACCATCAGCTCCAGCAAATCCAATCAATGTCCATATACCATCAAGACCTGAAGAAGAAATACCTCTAAGTCAAGGAGGCCCTGCAGTAGCTAATTCTCAGCCATATGAAGAAAGCTTTAGAGGTAGCAGCCCACCACCTTCAAACCCACCACCGGTAGCTGAGGTTGTGTCCAATGAAACTATAAATGCAACTAGCAGTGGCACAAGGAACAGATTAATGGCCTTCATGTCCACACCTGGTTTTAAGCCACCAAGGCTAGCTTCAAGGAAATGAATTGTAGGCACTTTTTTTTTGTATAGCCAACTCTGGACAGACCATTATGAATTGTAGGCCCTTTTTTGTATTAAAGGCCATTACGAATTATAGTATGCTTTGTATTACAGGCCAATATGGTTGTATTCATCAGGCCCTTTTTTTGTTTAACTTAGGAATTATTGATTAGTCATTTGGCTATATTTTGTAAATAGGTACTGATTGTTGACATATATAATGAAATGATATGTATGGTTTCACAACTCATTTGAATGGATAATGGGTATTACAATCTGGTGTGTATTACTTATTGACAAGTCATTTGACAAGTTCTTGTTGACATATGTACCTCTAGTTTTTTTTGCAGTTGTCATTAGTATGTACACTTCAGGAATTACAAATTGAACATTTTTTGTGAATTTCATGTTTGTTTTATACATGACAGAACAAATTTATTTTGATGTAGTGCGTAAGTCGAATCAATGCAAGAACATAATAGCCTTTGCTATAATTGCTCAATTTCCATGGTTCCAAGCATGATTAGTCAATTGCAGCAATTGACTTGATTAGCACAAACACTAGGTAACCTTGTCTATGGCATAAAAACAGATGTTAGATGACACAACTACTCCAAGGATGCAACTCATCCTTGTGGGTGGAGATTATTGCAACTTTCGTCATCATGTTCCAGGTTGCATCTTAAACATGAACCATTATGGAGGTTAGCCATTTATCTGCCTTTGTTGCTGGAAGAGCAATTGTGCTTGCTGTACTAATCACTGGGTGCTTAAAAAGTACTTCATGTCATATGGTTATTGTCTTAAAAATCAACAGGGACCAATTTTATCATGTAGTTATGTGACAATTGTTAACGAACTACCTCAACCCAACTAAAGTTTGAGCACATACACAAAGCAAAAAGAATAAAAATTGAAACCAAAAAAGGAAAGCCATGTAAATCAACTTTCTTATTCATTTAAAACAATACTCATTACATAGATGCATTTCAGCCAACTTACACAGGGTACATTTTCTTCCTATATTCCCCTACTTCCAACATAAATACATATGATGACCAGACCAACAATGGTAGCACCTAAGACCCTAGCTGACCTACAAACATGCCTATATTCCTTCTCCATCCTATCTAACTCTGAAACCATCTTCAGTGAGAGCTCCTTTATCTTTCTTTCAAGCTCCTTCATCTTCACTTCTTACTTATTCAGCTTCATGTCCACATACTTCAACTTGAATTCCATCTCAGCTACATCCAACTCCACCTTGTTTATTCTTCCTTCTTCCAGCTCCATCCTTTCGTTACATACATCATCCACCCATCTAAAAAAACCACAATATGACTTCTTCTCCTGCCACCAAAAGAAACAAGTAGCGCATAAGTTTGAACTTAAATCAAAATAGATTACAATTTTATACCTTGAAATTTGAGCACCCAAAGAATGCTCTGTTTGGGTTTCTGCCAGTCGTGGAGGTATACACAATAGTTGGCCTCCCACATTTACACCTTCGACCACCATTCCTTGCAAAGGATATACCACCAATTGAAGAGCTTCCACTCGAGCCCCCTTTGCCAGAAGAAACACTCATTTTCTCCAACTACACTGCGGGTTAAATTTCAGTTCTATTGTGTGCTTTTGCATACTTGAAGGCGAGATTGATTTGCGGAAATTTTAGCCCTAAAATTTGTTAGGGTTCTGAATGTCAATTTCACGACCAACGTTCATGGTTTACCAATGCATGCTCAGAACGGTGCCGTCCTAATGTCCACTGTGGAGTGTGACTAATGTGACTTAGCAAGCTAACTCTCAAAAGCATTTGTCCAAATTTTTACCATGGCCATAGTTTTGCTATAACATTGCCTTTCATTAAGCGGCATGCATGTCCCCCTTCAAGGTGGTATATGGCCGCAAATTGCCCTCACTATTGGACTATGTTCCCACTACAGTAACACTTTTGGAGGATGGTTCATTACTCCTTAGAAGACATCTAGTGGTCTAGCAACTCAAAACTAACTTAGAGAAGGCTCAGCAATATATGAAACAAGAATTAAATGTACAGAGGCGAGATGTGCAGTACAAGTCGGGTGATCTAGTGTGGGTTCGACTTCAACCCTATAAGCAGCAGTTAATGACCCTTCATAGTCCCAACAAACTTGGTTGTCATTACTTTGGACCTTTTTCCTATTGAAAGGAGAGTAGGCAAGGTTGAATATGAAATTGCAAATTCTATTTAAAAACAATCTAACATGGCAATCGAGAAAAACAAATTTAATTAACAAATTACAAATGCCAATTATAACACCTCGTAATTCTAAATCATATAATTAAATTATAAGTATGGATTAAAAGGTAGGATTAGTGAAAATCCTGAATTCAGAGTCAAAATACGTAAAAAAGGTAAAATGGTAAATTGCCAAACACGTAACCCTAGGAAAGGAAAATTGAGTAGAAGGTCTCAAATAGAAAAACTAACCCTGGAAATGGATTCAGAACGAAAAATTGAGTGGTTAGACAAATTTCAGAAAATTTGATCAATAGTATTTTTACCGGGTAAAAGTATCGCGGTACAGCTGCACCGTAAAGCGTGTCGAATGAATTTTGAGCTCAAGGTTTGAAAATATGTTATAAATGGTATATATGACTAGGAATTATGATTTTTGGTGAAAATTGAATGAAATTAGGGTTTTTGGGGAAGCGTGCCCATAATGCACATAACAGCTTAAACTGTGATTTCACTGAACAACCGGAAAACTCCGAATTCATTTGACCAAGGACAATTAAAGGATATCAGTGAATGTTAAAAACTGAAGTTTCTAAATAGTCTAGGAATTAATGGACATTTAGTGATTTAAGAAGGGTATTTGAATTAATTTGAATCGCGTGAGGTGGCTGTGGGACCCACCCACTTAAGTGACTTAAGCCACATGTGCTTGGCACTATTCATGCTTCACTTTCCTCCTTCCTTCTTCTTCAAACCCGCGACCATACTTGGTGAAGAGAGCAAATTTCCTTCCTTTGACTTCATCATCAAATCTTAACCAAAACCAACAAAGTTTGTCATCAAAGTTTAAGTAAATCATCATCCAAACACAACTCACCCATTGGTAGCTCTTGAAACCCCTTAAATTTGGAGAAATCCCACACCCATCTCATGGATTTCTGGAGAAAAAAGGTATTCTTGGAGTTGTTTGCTTGAGCTATTGCTTGGATATTTTGTGCAGGAATCCTAGGCCTTGATTGAGGGTAAGTTTCCACACTTTTCATTGGTTAATTTGGTGGATTGGTTTTCATGAACCCTAGAGCTTGCATGCGTGATTGATGTGGTTGGGGAGCTCAAATTGAAAATGTGTATTAGATAAAAGTGTCTTAGAATGATGTTTTATAGTGATTGAACTCATAAAATTTATTGATGAAATGTTTCGTAACTTAGGCAAAATTGATGAGGGAAATTCAAGACTTTGTGAAATGGAATGATTGTAGGATTGTGTAATTGAGTTGTTGAGTATTTGTATGAGTTAATTATAGGATTGTATAATGTGTGGAAGTGTTGAAATGAATTAGAAATCCTTTGGTATGCATGCTTGTTGAATTCGGTCAAGTGAGGGGAAATAAGGATGGATGATGTAAAATTCTTGTAATTGGTATTGTGAGGCTTGGAGCTAAGTTTAAATAGGTTGTGTGTTGGTGTGATGATGTAGTTGAATTGAAAGAAAAATCATTAGCGGTGTGTGTGTGTGTGTGTGTGCATTTCGGCCATAATGGGGTAAGTGAAGGAAAATGGTGTGGAAATGGGATTGAATGAAGACTCTTTGACCAGTTGGGGACTTTTCCCGTTTAAATTTACGAATTTAGTATCTGGATGAAAGAAATTACCGGTTGGGGTCTTTAAGTGCCGCAGGGGGGACTCAGCGACTCTAAATGACGCCCACAGTCCCCTACGGCACTCATGTGATATATATATCTTTTTGGACACAGTGTCACCCCCACCCCCCATCGGCTCAAGTTCTTTTTTTTGTTACATAAGTGACGCCCACCCTCCTCAACGACACTCATTAAGAAAATGTCATCTTTTTTCAGCTTGAATTCACACTTTTCTTCAATCTGGTTTCTGAAACACAAATAGGAAACTCAAAACAAAGGGAGAGTTTGGAAGATAACAGCACCATATATGAGAAGCCAGAAATAAAAATTGTACCTTTGACAAATTGATTTCGAAAAAAATGAAACACCCAAGAAGAGTTGATAACTTTTTTTTTTCTACTTTTCTTCCTTCTCGCGTTCATTTCATTTTTCTTGTTGTTGTGTTTGCTAGATTAACTTTGATCTGGCAGTTTAGTTGTAAAGCTCATTTTTTTTAGTTTGGGTTTTTTCTCCCCTTTTTGATTTTCATGCCTGATTATTTTTTGTTTAGTTTTGTTTTCTTTTTCTTTTCTATTCAAATCTCTCACTTCCATTGAACTTCCCTCGTCTCTACTAGGCTCTAAAACCAATATTGCTTTTGTATAATTGTAACTCTAATTCTAATGTATGATAAATCTGTGTTTGTTTTCATCCTTTTTTATTTTAGCCTTGATATCCACTAATCAACAAATACCTACTCTCATTGATTGCACTAAGCACTAATCTTGTCTGAAGTTTAAACTAATATGAAATATTGCAAATTGCCAGACCAGGTTCGAATGCTTCATTTTGTAAATCAATAAATGGATTCAAGTCAACCGATCAATTCTTGAGAGAAGTATGACTAAAGAGAAATTTGGAGGATTCCCTGTGTGGTTTGTGACTTGCCTGCTATTTTCTCTTCTCGTCTCATCTTTAGAAAAGTGTGAATTCAAGCTGAAAGAATATGATATTTTCTTAATGAGTGCCGTTGGGGGGTTGGGTGTCACTTAGGTAAAAAAAAGAACTAGTGCCGATGGGGGGTGGGGGCGACACTGTGTCCAAAAAAATATATCACATGAGTGCCGTAGGGGACTGTGGGCGTCATTTAGAGTCGCTGGGTCCCCCCTCCGGCACTTAAAGACCCTAACTGGTAATTTGTTCCATCCAGATACCAAATTCATAAATTTAAACGGGAAAAGTTCCCAACTGGTCAAAGAGCCATTGAATGAAATTAAGGGCTTGAATTGATGTTGGGTTGAGCTTGTGAAGCCATAGAAACCTTGAAATAAAATTAAGAACGTAGCTAAGTAATTTTGGGCCATTTGTCCGAATCCATGAGTGTGTGAGTGAGAGTGTGGTGTTTTGTACTTTGACTTGGTTGCACCATGGTATTGATGATTCTTGTAGGTTGCCTCCCACGGACGTGAACGTTGAACGGTGAGCTTGGTGGTTTGCCTTTGGTCCTTGACCAAATGATTGTGGTAAGTATTTATGTAAGAATTCATGAATGCTTGAATAACCAAGTGTATGATGTTGTATGGTTCTAATTGAAATGGGACTGACCTATATGTAGGCATTTCTGGTTGGACCAAGCTCGATGGTAGCTTGCATTGGAGTTACCTAGAGAGAGCTTCAACAAGGTAATCTTTTGGTAATGGGGTAAATCTCCGTTTGTGCTCCACCATGCCCCTTGGGGGTAGTAGTTGGAGGTGTATGTTGATAATGTGTTATAACATGCTCATGCATATATGTATGTATATTGGGTACATAGGATGTACCGTGTCTCTGGCCAGTAGATAGTTGCCTTCGAGAGTTACAGACTTCCACTGGATAGGTCTTCGTGAGGGAGTTCCAGTTGACCTGAGGTTATGGAGTTATCATCCGTTGAGGAGCACTCTAGGAATGTCTCGGGTGTATTGGTGGTGGGTGCCTTGGTTGATGTTCTGGGAACACTTCTTGGGATGAGAACCCGTAGGCTATATGCCAAGGCCAATAGGTCGGATGTTGCGTGGTTTTGGTTTCAACCATTCCAGCTTCATCGTATTTTTACTCCCTATGCATCCCTACTTCACTAAATCTCTTGCTTTATCCTTTTTTGGTTGTTATAGTACATTGTTGATTTACATTTGAGTGAGTCATTGAGCGGAGTAATCTCCAGAACCTCTAGGTTATTGAGATATATTCGAATATCTCACCCCGTATTGGGCCATTTATTTCAGGTAATAGTTCTAACACCTCGTATTTCTAAAATATATAATTATATTTAAAATATGGATTAGGGGGTAGGATTAAAGAAAATCCTGAGTTCTAGGTCAAAATACATAAGAAGGTAAAACGGTAATTTGTCAAACATGTAACCCTAGGAAAGAAAATTTGAGTAGAAGATCTCAAATGGAAAAACCAACCTTGGAAATGGATTCAGAACGAAAAATTGAGTGGTTAGCCAAGTTTATGGAAAATTGATGAATAGTATTTTTACCGGGTAAAAATATCGCAGTACAGTTGCACCGTAAAGTGTGCCGAATGAATTTTGAGCTCTAGGTTTGGAAATAAGTTATAAATGGTACATAGGACTAGGAATTATGATTTCTGATGAAAATTGACTGAAATTAGGGTTTTTGGGGAAGCATTCCCACAGCGCGCATAACAGCTTAAAACTGTGATTTCACCGAACGACTGAAAAACTCCAGATTCATCTGTTAAAGT